GTCGTAACAACATCCACGACTCACTCCGTACTTAAAGCTCGAAATGGATAATACGAGAAAAAGCTGACAAGAAAATCCTTAGATTCTTTTTTTAATTCAGTAGTGAACATAGTTGATATTCGTATTAAACATTTTAAAGAACATTTTACTCCTAACAACAACCATAAAAGCCCTATTTCTCGTATCAAACATAAGCTAAAAGAACTCGCCAAGGAATTTGTTTTTGTCCCGGCTGATAAGGCTGCTAATAATATCATTATTGCTTGACGTAAATTTTACATTGAGGCTCTGCAAAAGGAAATCACGAATTCACAAACATTCAACCTGACTCCATTTTTGGAAAATGACATCTGTAACAAACATAAACTTTTAGCTACCTCTTAACAAGCAGAACCAAATACAATGAAAGTTCCAACTATGAACTGGCTTCCGAAGCTGCACAAAACACCTTACAAATATAGATTTATTTCGTCTTCAAGCCATTGTTCCACTACTAAACTGTCTATTCTACTTACTAGTACACTTGGTATAATCAAAAACCTGGTAATAAATTGTTCAAATAAGGCCTTTGATAATAGTGGAATTAATTACTTTTGGAGTGTTAAAAATTCGTTGGAAGTACTTGATAAATTGCATGCTTATATTGGTGATTTCGAATCTGTTCAAAGTTTTGATTTTTCTACCCTATATGCCACTTTGTCTCATAACCTTATTAAGAAAAAAATCACACACCTAATTAAATGGGCATTTAAAAATCAGAATGCAAATATATATGTTCTAGGTCATTTTTTAATAACAACAGACAAAAGAGCTATGTCAGTTGGACCTGCTTTGATACGATAACTGCCCTTGAATTTTTACTTGATAACATTTTTGTTCGCTATGTAGATTCCGTATATCGTCAAGTTATCGGAATTCCAATGGGGACTAACTGTGCACCACTTATTGCGGACCTGTTTCTGTATTGTTATGAGTTACAATTTATGACAAAAATCAGCAAAGACCCATCGAAACAACATCTGATACAAAAAATTAATAACACTTTAAGTTATTTGGATGTTATATTGGCTCTCAATAATGACGACTTCGGTATGTACACTAAAGGGATGTATCCTGCTGAACTGACTTTAAATAAAGGTAATACTAACAATGAACACTGTACTTTCCTGGATCTTGATATCTATATCTTTAACGGGAAGCTTAATAACAAACTTTATGATAAAGAGATGATTTTTCATTTCCTATTGTTAATTATCCATTTTTAGATGGTGACGTTCCCTTGTCACCATCTTATGGTGTTTATATATCTCGACTTGTTCGATTCTCTCGTGTATGTAACAACGTATTTGATTTTAACGAAAGAAACCTCTGTATTACTGAAAAATTATTACACCAAGGTTTTCGATATCACAAACATTTACTTAATTTTATCATCGGTACAAGGACATCATTCGTAAATATAAATCAACATGCAGACATCTTATACGTTCAGGTATTTCACATCCAATATTTTATGGTAATATTCTATACAAAGCACAACAATGTAGACATTCACCTCAAAAGCTAACCAAACCTTTAAACAGACTTATTCAGATGGGATATAGTTACGATACTGTTGTCAGGTCATTAAAGATGGCATATTTTGGTATTAATATTGATTCACTCATAGGGTCTTTGCATCAGAAATAAACGCATTTATTCTAAAACCAGTTGTTGGCATGATACGGGTTATGTTCTTCTCATATATTTTATGATGGTATGATACTAAACCCCTAAAGATGAAGACATAATATTTCAATCAGTTTAAGCATGTCAGTAACTGCTAGTAGTCCTTTGTTAATTTATGTACCATTGTCATATTGCTTAGTTTCTTTTGTTACCTATTCTGACATCGGACTCGGATCTCTTTTAAACTGAGTTTTACTGTGTGTATTGCTGTGTGTTTGTTTATTCTACATTGGCTAGAGGTATAGGGGGAAGGTGGAGATCTCACAAAGCATGTTTAACGCCGCCGCATTTTTGCGCCTGTCCCAAGTCAGGAGCCTCTGGCCTTTGTTAGTCTTGTATGTTTTTTAATTTTATTTCATTTATATGTTTTGGAGTTTAGTGTGACGTCCATCTTCATTGAACTAGTACACATTTTTGTTTAGGGGCCAGCTGAAGCCCTCCTCCGGTGCGGGATTTTCTCGCTGTGTTGAAGACCCATTGGTGGCCTTCGGCTGTTTTCTGCTCTTTGGTATGGTTGCTGTCTCTTTGACACAATCCCCATTTCCATTCTCAATTTTATTTGTACTATTTTGACAGGTTTTGGTAAATCTGTTACTTTTATTGTTTTAAATAACATTCTGACCGGGCGTGGCTGCGTATTTATGTATCCCGCGCAACCAAACAGACGCCTAACTATGTCACGGGTTTTATTGCCGCTCGGAAGAATACCAGAAGCGACAATATTTTTTACCCTAGTCACCCTTGTGGTTTATATTAATTACTAATGTTATTTAATTGCAAAGTTACAAAAAAAAATGTACAACATGTAAAAGTATTTTTTGAAGACCAAGACTAAACTTATGATATCGAAATCCAAGGGGTGTATTTTTATTAAAGCAGTTTAGAAATTGTGATTAAAAACTCATGAAAGATACCAGGCTAAAAATTCGATACGCAAGATAGGCGTTTCGTCTACATAAGACTCATCAGTGGCGCTCGAATCAAAGCAGTTTGAAGGCTTCATCAAATACGAAGTTGAAGAGGACAAAAATGCGAAAATTCATAAAAGTTGTGCCAAATACGGCTAAAGTAATCTATACTAACAGTTTTACAGAAATTAGTATCTAATGATATTTCATGACTCAACACAAAAGTGCTCACTACTTGTAATTAAGCCATACCCCATCGTTGGCCTCATATGCAATTCAACTGTAACTGTTGGAGCTCATTTCCTAATGCTTGTAGAGTTAGACTTTGGTTGGGTTGCTTGCTTTGTTTGTATAAATGTTTGCTCAAGCATATATTATATTTAGATTCCTTACCTCCAGGATAACATCCAATCAAATTTAAGTATAATGTTTACAGGTTTAACTCCGCCTTCTTATATCTTATATTGTTTGCAGATGTCAATCTTAATTGCAATGCTTGAGCAAACATTTATACAAACAAAACAAGCAAGCCAACCAAACTCTTATTCTACAAACATTAGGAAATTAGCTCTAATTATGTCCACAGTTTAAATAAACAATGTATGATCATGACTTCTATGTATTATTGGTCGTAAAAAACTGTTGTCCACATGTATAAATTATCCGGATTTGTAAGACACTGGTAAATAACTTTATCAGCAGAAAAGACATCACATGTTAACGTCGTACGGACATAAACACTAATTCTCTCAAAAAAGACATGATCGACCAAATCAAAATGTCAAGTATGAAAATGGTCAAAATAACATAAACGGTACCAATGTTATTGCACCAGATGCGCATTTCGACTATTAATGTCTCTTTAGTGATGCTCGAGGCCAAAATATTTGAAAGTCCAAAACTTAATACATATACAAATGTTGTAGAGCTGATAAAACCATAAATGTAAACAAGTTCTACTACATCATTCCACATTGATCCTCAAATCTTTACATAAAGACTTAAAACATGTTGAAGTTGTGAAACTGCTATCATTGTATTGTTTTCTGTGAGCGATTTTGATGAAGGTAAATGCAGAAAAAAACACACTTCCGACGCAAAAAATTAATAGAGGCCTTATTGCTACACTATATTTATCAGATTTTGTTTTCAACTAATCGGGCGGAGTTAACTTTTATTTTGTATAAGGACAGTCTATTTGAAGACGTGTGTGATAGGGATGAAAGCCGTTATATCATAAGTACTGATTTCTAATCGCACATCAGTATCATCTGACAGCATTGCAACAGATTGAGTGGATGTTTTTGTAAACATCCTCAGTTTCATGTTTCCACAACTTCCAAAATATGACAATGTTTTTGACATGCTAACTCCGTGTTACAAAAAAATCAACAACTGTGTCAACTATTTACTTTGCGAATACACATATAGTTTACATATTTTAACCTGACCAATTAACAAAAACCGGACACTTCGTTATTGAGTTTATCCCAAAACACATGATTATAGATGGACTCATCTATGATTAGCCAATCGGTTATGCCCCCAACCCACCCACGGTCAATTGAAAAACATCAAGTAATATGTTTATTATGTATTGAATCGTTTAACGTTTTTCCGAAATTTGTAGCCTTTAATGTAGAAATCTGTTTATACTAGCATTTATGCTTTTGGAAAGATCTTTATGAAACAAATTATGGCCTTTTTGATATTTTGTGTTAAAAAAAAATATAAGAAATTAAAGCCCATATTTGACCAGACGTAAACCTTGTCCAAATGTAATATGCACTCTCAGAATTTGTTAGTTTTTCGAGAAATGGCAGTTTAAACTTCTGAGGAGCAAAAGCAAAATTGCATAGTTACGTTTAAAAACAAGAAAACATTTTAACAAAATAAGTCTGTAAATAACATATCGAATTGAAGGTAAATTCGGTAAAGTTATAATAGCAGAGTTATGAAATAATTGTCAATAGAAAGCCGTAGATAAAAAAAAAACACTATACAAGTTTCGTGCGTCCATGGCTCTTTTTTGGATTTGCCTTCGCCAGGAACGCTCAATCTAAAATATTTGAAAGCCACGAATGTATAAAAAAGTAGACAATGTATCTTATAATAACAAATGCATACAGAAAAATATAAGGTTTCAAGTCCTTATTATTCTGCTAATGCCAGGAAATCTTGTTCTTAATGCGAGAAACCATATTTCCCACATTGCTTTTATGGGAATAGTCATGATCGGATGAGTACCATATTGAGAGCTTGCATTATTTCCGGAATTTTTGCTAGATAAAATCTATTAAAAAATAATAAGAAACTTTGAAAACTATAACTAGTAAAAACATATGTTAAAGATAAAATATGAAGTGATTTTTGTCAAACATTTTATTAACAAATAAATGATAAACAATGCTCTAAGCAATGATGGTACTAACAAAACAATACACATATATAACAGTATCACAATAGAAAACACAACCTTTTTAATAACAATAATCGCGTATACACAAAACTAAAATATACATTGAATTTATATACAGTATCACACTATGAATTGAAGAGCTTATATATTCCGCCATTTTTTATCATAAAAAGCATGATCACAAAAAACACAAAAGGATGTTGGAATTACGCATGTACCCACTACAAGGGTAACTATATTGCTATCTATTGTTCAAATCATTTTTGAAATTGAAGGAAGTCCTATTCAGGCACTACATGCACGAATCTTTTGTCTTATTTCTTATTCTTTAGCCTTTTATTATCCTTAGTTGTACAATTAGATGAAGTATTATTTTTTTTTATACAGAAACAAGAACGAAAAAATGATCAATGTATGATAATAGGATAGTGCTGCAGAATTACTGCACTTCAAAAACAGACATTTGAATTTTAAATCAGAATTAGAAAATTATTACCATAGAATTTTTGCTAATTGCTACAGATTCGTTTTCTTTTTGGAAAGAGGTTCGTCTTCCGGTTTGACAAAAGCACACTTAGCCTAGTCCCCTTACCATTAATGTGTACAGACAACCTAAAAAGCTGTATCGTATAATTTTGTTTTTGCCATATATATTTGTTTGTTACGTCTTTTTGGAATTAATTTAAAACAGAATCTCTGCGCGGAATGCACATATAAAAAGGAGTGTATAATTTCGACAGAAAACATGGGTACTGGAAAAAAGCTCATCAGTAACTGCACTCACAGAAGAATCTAATACTGTGGAAGTCATTCACTGTTTAGTAAATATTACGCTGTGAACGTTCTTGATGAAGGTAAATCAAGAAGAGCACTTCGAACGAATACAATTTATAAAGTGTTGTTTTCATTTTTTATGGAGGTGAAACTTCGGAGGAACCTTTCATGAAATAATATTATTCGATACTATAATTGGATAGCTATTGACCTCAAACAAACACATTCCTATGTTGTTTCAAGAATTTTTTAAACGGAACTATAACTAGATACATTCAACTAGTGTGTTAATGAGTATAAAAATAGAAGCTTGCGTAGTAACAACACAGTATGAATACATAAAAGATGGATTTATATTCCGTATTCGAACTCAACTTGTAATCTTTATTCAAACACTACTGGATGACATAAACATGAACATTATGCTATAATAAGTACAACGATTAATGTGCAATTTCCTATATTTTGTGACGCTATACTCGGATGTTATGACAATAGATACAAAACAATTTGTAAAAATGGGATAACTCTTTAATCAGATTAATATGGTATGCTACAGTATTACACAAATACTATGATAAGACTTCCTTTTTAACACAGAATACTCATTATCTAATCATATGTGCACTGAAAGGTATATTTAAAACGCACAAGTTAAAAGAACCTTTTCCACATTCATCAAATCATCTTTCATAACAAATGTACAAAAAATAAACAAAAGTAATATGTCCTATCCTAATGTGGCTCACCCACTGGTTAGCCTGTGTATGATCACGGTGTCAGTTCGGAATTCCAGGGTTAGCTACTGATGTTATTATGGGTAAATAAAGGTAACCGTAGTAAACTACTGTTCAATGGGTAAATTTGCAATGCATGCAAAGTATATATTAAGTATACCTGCTAATTTTGTATTCAAAACATAATCGTGAAAACTCCTATACAAGTAAAAAAAAAAACAAACCACAACAACCTGTCAATAGAATACACACCCCACTAGTACATCATATTTCTATGTTCAGTGTACCGCAAAATCTATTGAAAACCCTATTTTGGCATCTATTTTAAAAAAGTGTACTTCACAATGAATATCTGGTCTAAGTTTCAAGTTGGTGTGACCAAAGATTACCTTCATCAAAAACTTTAAACTGATACAGGCTAGACGGACGGACGGACGCATAGACCGAAAAATATAATTTCCTCTACATCAATAATTATATGCAATTCTGAACCATTTCATTTTTCGGTGACATATTTTAATAAGATATAGGCATTATCTAAATGTCCTAACGAGCTAATGCTATAGTGAACTGAAAACTATGAATCTGAGGTGTTAAAGTCACACGATATTTGAACATCTGAAATTTCATCGTTAAAGTATGCAATCAATCACTAATAATACGAATATATACTGGAGGTTATCTAATGGTTCAATACAATATAAAAGCGTACTTGTTATAGTGGGTTTACAACGTCTATCTGTCATACAAGAGTGAAAATAGATCTCCAGGAACTTCCATACCTATATTGCGATGATGATCAATTACAAAAGGTGCTTATAAACCCAATTACATGGGTAGTGAATAGGTCTGGTACTTCTGTTACCAGTTCAGAAACTAAACCAATTCCAAAAACTGTTTTATGTAACATTCACCGTTTAATGATTCAGGTCATTGAAGTGTTAGAAAAAGTATTTAAAACATTAGATAAAATGGCTTACACTTCTTTGGTTTAACAATGATATTATAATTGAACCAGATCGTTTGTATTAAAGATATTTTTGAAATCATAATTTTATCTGACCTGAAATATCACTTTTAATGCTACCACATATATCATCATAGGCCGGAAACAATTTGATTGTTTTGTTTGAAGTAGTGTTATAAATATCTGATAAAAGAATTTCTAGCTGGGCAACTGGAGCAGATATGACAACGCTGTCAGGAACATTTCTAGCATATAAAGCATATGAAGCAGTATCTGCGCCTTTGATGCAGCATCCTGCGAACCAAAATAGATATGGAACAGCTACCCCATTCCCTATTGTGCTATCAGCATCGTTTAATGATACTGCACCTGATATTACATACATCTCTGGATGGTCACGTGATACTCTGTTTCGTTGTCTCCTCACGGGATTTAAAAGTACTGGAATTCCACACTTTTCGACAGCGAAAGTACGCGCAGTTGACAAAGCAGTTTCCCACATTCCATGTAGTGATGTGTGAATTGGCGCCGTATTAGTCAGTGTGTATGTTGCTATTTTCTCTCTTACGTCATTTCCTGTGAGACTGTGTGGTAAAAGTTGTTGCATTTTGTACTCTGAGGTATCATAATCGGTGTTTACAGCCTGAAATTGACCTAGATTACAGACTGAAATTTCACCATTGTCGTAGAACATTCCTTTTCCTTCTGCACCATTCAGCCAGTTGTATACTGTCGATACCACACTTTTATGCTTTTTAGTTGACACCAAACCTATTGAAAATAAACCCAGAAAAAGTTAAAATAAGAGACATCATTTTGGTAATTTAATCTTTTCTCGACGCTTTACTTGATTCGATCATTTATTTTATTTCAATTTATTAAAAAAAAACAAAAAAAAAAAACTGGACATGTCAGTGCGTGCCCTACTTGTTACAACATAGGGTCTGAACACAGATTTAACATATTTACGAAATTGCATAGGCCAGTTTCTTTGTAAATTTGCATAAACATTCGCCAAAATACTTTCACAAAATGCAAACTCAATCTATACTCATAATTACACAATCATATAGAAAGCAGTATCCAGTATCTACATGAAGGAGAGATGTATATAGTTTTCTCCGTCCATTTGCCGTTGAGATATCAAAGGGACACGATATTAATAATCAAAATAAAGTGCAAATAAGATACAGTTTGAATGATCATGCACAACTAACCAAATACAAAATTAGCGTATACACAGTTTCGTTTCTGCAGCATAAAATAAAAGTTCATATGTGTAAAAAGACGCAAACTTTATCTTAAATTTTATCATTTATTTAGATGAATATAAGACACCAGTACAATAAAGAACAGTTCTAACAGCCCCTTTTTTCCCACAAAGATTGATGGAAAAGGTACATTTTGTGTAAAACTGGTCACGTACACATCGATGTCCAGACTTATCAAAACTGGATATCCAGACCGATTTTACCAAGCCATGCTATCTGAACCATGTGATATTCGTTGTTCTTTTTCTTTGTTTGTATGTCAGTTTATTTAAGAGGAGTTAATTGTTGGTGATTGATGTGGTCTTTGTACTGTTCTGTATTTTTGGTGATTCCTCTTATATAAAAATGTGGTATGATAACCTATGACACAGTTAACCACCAGAGTCAAAATGACGTAGATATAAGCAACTCTATATCCTCGTACGACCTTCAACAAGGAACAAATATTCTTTCATGTATTAGAAATAGACCTAGTTTTTATAAACAAATCGTTGTGTGTTGCATTAGATTAAGCGAAAAGAAGTGCTTTCAAAGTATATTACCTCTTCATAAAAAGTTGATGATTTATTTTTATTATATGCTTATGTTGTCCTTTCAATAACACAAACAATTGAGCCTGGTATGTATGACGAGGTTGTTTAGTTTATATTGAATTGTTTTCCTTGCTTTGAATAAAACGATTTTATCTGAACCATGTGATATTCGTTGTTCTTTTTCTTTGTTTGTATGTCAGTTTATTTAAGAGGAGTTAATTGTTGGTGATTGATGTGGTCTTTGTACTGTTCTGTATTTTTGGTGATTCCTCTTATATAAACATGTGGTATGATAACCTATGACACAGTTAACCACCAGAGTCAAAATGACGTAGATATAAGCAACTCTATATCCTCGTACGACCTTCAACAAGGAACAAATATTCTTTCATGTATTAGAAATAGACCTAGTTTTTATAAACAAATCGTTGTGTGTTGCATTAGATTAAGCGAAAAGAAGTGCTTTCAAAGTATATTACCTCTTCATAAAAAGTTGATGATTTATTTTTATTATGCTTATGTTGTCCTTTCAATAACACAAAAAATTGAGCCTGGTATGTATGACGAGGTTGTTTAGTTTATATTAAATTGTTTTCCTTGCTTTGAATAAAACGATTTTAGAATATTTGTTGTACAATTGAACATTTATCGGTGAACGACAGAATTAGACTTATCACCGGGATTGTACTTTCAAGAGCAACACGACGAGTGCCACATGTGGAGCAGGATCTGCTTACCCTTCCGACGCACTTGTGATCACCCCCGGGTTTTGGTGTGGTTCGTGTTGCTCACTCTTAAGTTTCTATGTTGTGTTTTGAGTGCTGTTGTTTGTCTTTTGGTCTATTTTCTTTTTTTGCCATTGAGTTGTCAGTTCATTTACGACTTATGAATATTAATGTCCCTTTGGTATCTTTTGTCTCGCTTATTATCATTTGAAAAATAAAATTAAGAGTCTTTTTAAATATATATATTTTCCTCATATTCCTTTTTCGGTAGTAATTGTACACGGACTTACCCTTTTCAATCATAAACGTCATTAGTGGTTTTGAAGTATCTGAGAGGTTTCTTAGTCTTCCAAAAGACATCAGAGGAACACGTTGTTTTGTATCATAAACAGTACCATAGAAAGCCTTCCTAGACGTGGATCCTATATACGTATCATCCTGTGCAAAGCGCTGACAAATGAAATATTTGTCATATATCCCTGGAAAACCTGTTGGTAACTGATCTCCAAGAAGGAACTTTTTCCAACAAATGTGTTTCAAGTTACCTTTAGACTTCAAGATATTTTTCTTTTTACGAATACATTTTTCTGATTCTTGACAAAACTTTTCTAGGGTACCAGAACACTGTTTCGTTGAGTCGAAGAACGGAACAAAACGATCCCTATTTCTACACCAAACATTTTTGTCCCCTTTGGCATCAAGATCATCGATTGTCCATTTCTTGTGTATAAATTTTGCAATTCCAATATCGTATAATGAGTATTCACAATCTGACACTGAAAAATACAGAATTAAGTAGTACGTTTCAAGTACTTTTCAAATAAGGAGTGAGTTCAACTCCAATGGAGCATAATATGTTTACCCTTCTGGAAGACTTGAAATATCAAAATAAATAAAATTCTCGTTGCTCCTTTTACATTTTGTTTGGAATGTTTTTTTGTTGTTTTATCTATTCTTTTCATAATTGTGTTTGCCTTTTCGATACTGAATTTCAATTGACTGTCTTGCTGATTTTGCACGGTCTTTTTATGTTACAGGGTTTCATCAAATACAGAGATAAACTGTGTAACTTATATTTCTTTATTGTTTACTCACACATACATTTCTATTAATGTGGTGTAACATTGAGCTGTCACTGTACCTTGATTTCTCAATTCTCTAATGTCAATATTTTGTCGAGGATAAATATCATACAACGTCATGGAGGATTGCACATTGTATTCCCTACAAATAGCCCATGCAATGTACATGTATGTTCTCATATCGCCTCTTGTTTTTACTCCTTTTTAAAGAACAGTTTCATTTAGATACGAACCAGTTTATGATATGCGCAGGTCAACCTTACGAAAGACTTTATGATTGACTAAGAACAATATAATGGAATCGCATAAAGATGATCTGATATTAAAATAGATAATAATTTACCTATACGACGCAATTACGTTACTGTCAAATATTTGTTATACAATCAACACGGTAAACATATCCGATTCGTTATGGTAGTATAGTATCTGACTTACCTTCATCGTGTAAATGAGGAAAAATATCATCTGAAAGAGTAACAATGATAATAATAAGAAATGATTCATTACCAATGTATACCAACCACATCATATTTATACGTTCGAAGTTAGATATAACTACCAAATTGACTATCTGCTGCGTACTAATAACCGCCTTATATCTTTTATAAGTAAAATTGACAAAAAGCAACTCGGGTAAAAATATCGGTCTAGTATAATGCTAAGGATCTCATAATATTCCCCATAAATAGTAATGTTAAGTATCAATAACCATGATAACGACGATTGGATTCGGTTCATTCATAATTGAGTCAATTGCAAATACTCAAATCTCGTTTTGTTCTTTTCTTTTTTTACTCACAGTTTCAAATGAGTATTTGGTATCTATAGATTTTTCGTTCTATTTGCAACCAGCGTACATGTTGAGAGTTGCATTTGAGATCACTCCCGGTTTTGGTGGGGTTCATGCAGTGGGTTCATGTTGATCAGTCCTTAGTTGTCCATGTTGTGTTTTGTAAACTGTTATCTATGCTTTGGTGGTTTTTCGTTTTTTGCCATGACATTGTCAGTTTGTTCTCAACTTATGAGTTTGAATATCCCTTTGGTATCTTTCTATTCGTTTGATGTGTTTGAGCTTTCGATATTGTCATTTGATTTGGGACTTTCAGTTTGAATTTTACTTAGAGTTTTGTATTTTTGTTATTTTTAAATTGTTTTCGTCTTTCGTTTTGGTCTATAAAAGTACCTTTTTTGTGATAAACAATGATAAACCAAGTATCACATCACAAAACTATAAATTCTTTATTTGATTTGATTATAATGTATTATATATAATCAAATATCAATTCTTTATCAAGGGGTATTCATTCTATAACATTTTACTTACCAATTCTAGATATCTCAGATAATTGAACTCCGCTGCATGAGTATTCGTATTCTTGTGTTGTTTTTCCTGACATAGATCTGCACGCTCTTGTTTCTCGTCTGTTACACTGCCGAACTTGCATCTGAGGGTCGTTACAACTGTCGTCTGCTAGTAAATATAAACCGGAACGTTTGCAATACCTAAATCTGAACTCTTTATCACCTGACTGTATCCAAAGTGACCATGGTGTCCAGTAAGGGTCTGTAGATATAACATACATAAAGTTTGTAAGAAAATATATACATCTACATAAGAAAAGACATAAGAAAAGACCCATCTCCCAGAAAACAAATGCCAACACAGGAGTTAAAACTGAATAACAATTACTACCTGGGCTGTCAATAAATTACCTTGCCACACTATCAATCCATGGTAACTTGTTTTCTGAAATAGTTTCAATATTTACAGAACAAGGCACTGAAGACAATTTTCTCATACATTTATTGTTTGACTTTAAAGATGTATGCATATACTCTAAAAGATAACGTGTATATAAATGTTTAATGTATTATTATCCCGACTATTGATGTCATCAAGAAAATCGTTTTTTTAGAGTTACATCTTGGTCCTGAATGACTAAAACGATTGATTGATTGATTGTTGGTTGCTTTACGTCCAGTCGCAAAAGATATTCAGATCCATTCATGAAAGTTCAAAAAATTATCAGCTGTTTTCCAGTCGTTCCGTTGGTTGATATAGTCGAGCTTTTTGTTTTGTCATTTTTTTATGAATTTCCCTTTTTCAAATTTACCTTGGAGTATTTTGTTTTTACATTTTTATGAGAGAAAATAAAGTTTGGAGACATTATTTAATATTCAACAACTTATTTACTATCACAAAAAATCATGCTAATACATGCTAGATGATTGGAAACTTCGTGATATAAAAATTATGTACAAATGATATTTACATTTCATCACATAGTTATGTATATATATATATAATGTGACAAGGGAAACGGTTCTTTTATCGGTTTAAAATTTTGATTTTATTCCTCAGGCATATGATAGAAGACAAAGTGTCTTATTTGTAAAACCACCCACTTACAATTCTATTTAAGCTCATTATCTTATTAATAGGTTTTTGATTTTTTAAATATTTTGGCCTCGAGCATCACTGAAGAGACATTTATGATCAAAATGCGCATATGGTGCAGATAAAATGGTACCGTTAATGTCCATATACAAAAAATATGGTAAATTGCGTGATACCGATTCCCTTTGCGAGAAAAGTGTTTCTGGAATAATCTTTTTGCATTTCGGTCGAAACTACAAGTTTTCAGAGTTATAATATAGAACGTTCGAACAAATAAAAAAAAAATAAACAAAACAAAAGGGCCATACCCGAACAGAACAACAAAACTGTCTTAGACGAACTTTGCCTGAGAAAGTTTTGCTCTCAGAAAGTGTTACCTTAAAATTTAAGTATTTGCTCAATTAATGTAGCATGTATATTTGGTAAGTAAACTTTATTGAGTGTTTTCATTTGTTTATTGTATTTCTGGTATCTTTCGTAATATTTGACAAATTGTTGTTTGCTTAACGTTCATTAGCATTTATACTATTTGAAAGGGTGGGAGGTGAATTACAGAGAATTGAAACGAATAGATTTATATGGCATTGTACTTACATGATGTTTTACATTGTTGTAATGAATTAAATGGATTATTGTCATTTTGCAAACCTGAAAAAAGATACAGATTAGCTATTTCATTTTGTTTTATCAAGTATATATGCAAATGTTTACACGCAAATCTGTACATATATATTCAATAAACGTTGTGAAATATAAAGTAAATTGGCAACTTTATGTTAAAGACTATTGCTTATCAAATTTTGTAATATATTTAATAAGGATAACTAAATGGATAACTATCTGTTGTTTATTAAATATGCGTTGGTTTTCAAAGTTTTGTATATTCATTTCATTTCTATACTACATACTATTTCAAAAAAGTCATGACAAACTTTATAAACAAAATTTAATCAACTTACATTTATCAGAAGAATCCAGAGATATATTGACCTGAAGACTACAGGCCTCTAGCTGCAAATGACAGAGGTTTTCATATAGTATACCGTCGGAACCACAAACAGGATTGCCTTTGAAATTCTCACATTTCATATCACAGACACATCCCGTTTTAACACCGTTTTGAATCAGACACGTTGCGCCATATTTGCACAAAATACCTCTGCAGTTATACTCATCTAAAATATAAGGTGCATGTTAATTCATCATTTTAGTGCAATCAACGGATATGTTAATTTTTATGATTTTTTGTATAAAATGATATCATTTTTTATTTATTTTGTGGTTTGTTTTGTTGCTGTGTTACTGATGTATACTTAAAATATTCTTTAATCAATCTTTAAAGTCTGAAATATATAACATTTGTGGAAAAAATGTTCCACATTTTCATTTAAAAGATAAATTTATACCACAGACTGTTTAGACGAGTTGCAATACGATGAATGCCATTTGAAAAAAAAACCAAGTTCCTTACAAAATCTTAAGAACCAAAATATATAACATCACCAAACCTGGCATTATTATGTCTTAAGGGATGAGAAAGACTGTTATCGATTTCGGCATCTTTAGGTTAAAGATGTGAAGGTCACAGCAGCTATTGAAATACAGACACAATTTGAGTTTGCAGATTTTATATTTTTAATTTAGCTTAGCAAAAGTAAAGTAAAAAAAATTCCAAGGAAAATTCAATACGGAAAGTCCCTTATCAAATGACAAAATCAAAAGCTCAAACACTTCAAACGAATGGAAAACAACTGTTATATTCCAAATTTGGTACAGGCATTTCCTTATGTAGAAAATGGTGGATCAAACCTGGTTTTATAGCTAGCTAAACCTCTCACTTGTATGACAGCCGCATAAAATTCCATTATATTGACATCGATGTGTGGACAAAACAAACAGACATAAAAGGTAAAAATGTCAAAATTTGGGTACAGCCGTCAACATTGTGTTATAATCTTAATCACAATATAAAATCAAACAACTATGTCAACAAAGAAAACAAAATGGCTTGTAGACACTCTATGGACAAAGCATATAAGCGAAAATATAAGACAAGAATACATAAAATGACCATAGCACAATAACACAATGGCGGTTTATGTAACCATTATGCTTCTGTAATTATTCAATGTAAGGTACTTTAGACACCCAACGTTTAATGTGTTTTAATTGTTATCCCGATGGTTTATATCCTCTTCCATGTTTCATGCGTTTAGATCTCAAAAATTTGGTTTAACGAGAAATGAAAAATTCGAACTGCAGATATAATGCATCAAAGTTACTTCGGTATGCTGTAATTTAATATCAATCGAGAAAAAAAACTTTCAAAACTATTAACCTTGTACAAAGTTTATTAGTTTTATTTATTTACCTCTGGTAATGTCCTCTGTTTTCATGGGAGACGTTATATTTAATTTCTCCTCGTCGTCTGAAACTAAAGATATGACAGAAGTACAAGTAAAGTAGAATATGCGATTGATATAATATAGTATAGTATTACTATCAATTGCCGACGTGCAATTTATTGACCAAAAACAAATAGACGATTAACTTTACGATGATACAGCAGATTTGCCGATAATAACACATGGTTCTTTACTAGAAGAATAAATGAGATTTACCACAATTATATCATAGACACATAGTCAATATGGTACTTTCATGAACGCTTATACCAGCCTCATTGAACGCATTTGATAGATTTATGCAATATATTTTTTATTGCCTGTAATAATCACAAACAACTCATATTGATCTACTCAAAATGGAAGATGTTTACCATTTCCCCCTTAATCTTCATTTAGTGTTTTTTAAAGTCTTTTTCTAAAAGTTACACTATGATGACAGTCATATGAACGTATATTGCAGTTATGAAAATATTATATATTTGAACAGGTAATCAAATTGCAAATGCTAACATGACTAAAAATGCAATTCTGAAAGAATTTAAAAAAAATTACTTTTATCCTCAAAATTAATTAAAGAATAATCCGGACCAAAACCATTCTTCTATCGCAGCTATTAGAAAGATACAATTTAATACTAAATTTGTGTGATTTCGGTTGACTTTTGAAACAAAATGCTGCATAAAACATACAGATTGCATTAATGTAACATATGCTAATGTATAGAGATGAATACCATCTAAAATTTATTGATGCAAGACATTTTTTAGACATATCATATAATGTGAAATATCTTGTAAAATAAAATCAATAGCAATTCACAAATTGTGTGTATCTGAAACTCTTTTCTTGATTAACTTTTACCAGGTAAACTCAAAACTAAAACATTGAAAGCCAAGGGATGTATCAATACTTAAGGAACTATATGACCAAAAAAGACCTTAAAAGTATATCAAAAAACATTTATAGCCAACTTTGCGTAAGGGGGTTGGAACCTTTTTTTTCTTCACAATTTTTATATTTATCAACAGAAAATGGAAAAAAGCATATGCTATAAATCATGCCAGGGACGAAACACTAACGAGTGAGCTAACGATACCCTCGGTGACGTACAGTTAAAGGGTATTATTAAGACTCATTTCTAATATGGTTAGATTTCATCAACCTTCTAATTTTGCCCTTAAAGTGAGACAATAACAAATTGGCTATAATCCTTAATTTAAGGAACTTAACCTTAAACTCAAAATAACAGTGTTTCAGATATATTTCGTTCAGATAGAACATCGCTATACATATTGAACTTCATATTTGGCCTCCCAACGTTTTTTTTACTCGGGCGCCACTGATGAGTCTTATGTAAACGAAACGCGCGTCTGGCGTATCATATATAAGCCTGGTATCTTTGATGAGTTTTTACCCAGTGAAATTCGCATAACAAATTTAGTTCCCAATAACGGGCGACAATCTTTCCCCAGATAATTCGTTAGAACGCTACACAAAATCAAACAGTGCAAATAATGAGCCTTCGATTAAGGGATTAGTGACCGTATGGTGATTTTGAATTCAAAGAACAAAACAGAACAGGAACATACAATTCAAATGTGATAACGGAAAAAAACCACAAATACACCATTAGTATCGTCTGGAATCACAAATAAAACTATAGAACACTTGTTATAGTATAAAAAATAACCTTCTTTGTAGCATAAGGTATAATTGTTTCTTCTTTCTCATATTTGTGGTTATTAGTATTACATTTTCATTTTATCTTTTTATCAGATTGGTGGTTTCTAGAAAATAGGAAAGAGGTCTTGAATAACTCGCCTTATGGCACATACTTATATGTAAAAGCAAACACGCACATATTCTGCATCTTATTATATTGTACATCTTACGTCCCATATTGATTGGTGATAAGCCATATGTTCAAATTGTTGATCTTTAGAGGTAAATACACATTCTTAACTGTTTTGCTTACCTTCTTCTTCCAATCCAGACCCGAGTTCTGTTCTGGCCTCAATAAAATCTTAAAATGATAATAATGATATTCAAATATTCATAACAATTCTCGCATTAGCTTGAAGACTGAAATAATTATTTTAATATTAACTGTTGTACTAAATGAAAGGTGGTCTAAGTAACAAATGTATTAACTATGACACATGTAAGTTTGAGGCAGTGCACTACTTATATACAAGTATCATCTATAATACATAACATATTCATTAAAAACACTTTTCGTTTTTCATTGAATTACAACATGAACAAATGATCAATCTAGATCGATTTTGACTTGACCTCACACGTAAGAAATACCGAAATGCACGAGTTTACTTTCTTTATCATTTGATTCTTTTTATGAAAAAATAGAACATACAGAAGGAGCATTCTAGATTATGGATTATTGTTAATCGAGTTTAAAATTCGAGATTTAAAATCAATTATCCTCAATAGATAATCAGAAGATACTTTAAAGTTAATGAACAATTTGCACTTGTTGCATTTCTAGCGATTAAATTTCTGTTAAAAAAACATGAACACCAAAAGATGCTTTAATACATTTGGGCTACTAAACAAAACAGAAACCTTAAATAAATAAGTAGAAACTGTATAAAATTAAAGATAACAAAAAATATCTGAACTCTAAGGAAAATTCAAAACGATAAATCCCTTATCAAATGGCAAAATAAAAAGCTCAAACACATCAAACGAATGGAAAAACAACTGTCATATTCCTGACTAGGTACAGGCATTTCCTTATGTAGAAAATGGTGGATTAAACCTGTTTGTTATAATATATACTGTATGTATTTTCAACAACATAAACATACTTGTGAGAATCTTTGTCAAATTTACTTTCAAATACATCTGTATGTTGATATTTATTTAGGATGGTGTGCGACTAGTTTTCATGGCAAATAATATAATACAAAAAATCGACAAAATTTATATGTAACCCTGAGTGCCTGCTTAATTATAATATATAGTGGACATAAAATATAACAAAATGAGACCAAGAAGTCCAAGAACTTGATCAACATCTGTTTGTTATTGCAAGTTGTATTCTTTTAACAGATTGTTTGTACCGTTCAATTCATATCTTAAAATGTTTTCTTTCATATTCATTTTTGTTATATTTTCATATCATTCGGCATTCTGTTCGTTTATACTATTGTTTGTTCTTTCATATTATTTCTGATTATGTTCTTTTAGTTTAAATACTCAAATCTTTGGGTTCAGGCTACTGGTTGTTTGGTTTGTTCTTGTTTATCTGTGTTTGTTTTCTGTTCTTACATTTTTTGTTTTTTTGTAATGTTTTCCCGGCTTGTTTCTCTTTATTTGAATAGCTTATTTCATTATTTTGAATTATTGCTTGGTATATTTTTTCAGAGAATTACATATTCAATCTATATGGATTATTTATTGTTCCCTTGTGCCTCTATCTAAATTCGAATTAATGATTGTTATGCTAGTGTGATTGGCCTTTAGCTTGATACTGAGTATCTATGAAATATATGCCACTGGACGGAAAGCACATATAAATCAACCAATCAAGTCACTAATTTTCCTTAAAACTGTATACTTTGTTCGTAATAATATATGCAGTCAACGTATGCGTGTGTTTTATCTTTTTGTAATATTATTTATTGGTAAGTCATATGGATGTTCTTTTCATATAAATTACAAATTAATTTGTTCATGCACATACTAGTCATTACTTTTAATTTTTCTATCTTGTTTAGCTTGCAGTTTTTATAAAAAACATGTCTTATTATATGTATTATATTATCTTCCTGACCCGATATCTACTGCAACTGACAATGTTTTTGACATCAGACAATTAATTTCCCTTGTGATCGGATATAATATTTCATATTATTATTTTGTTGAAAAATACAATTATGATGATAACCAAGTTATCATTTATTGTATTGGGAATTAGAAATATGAATAAGTCTTGTGAAATTAATAATATTTTCTATTGCTGCTGTTATTGCTAAAATTTTATAACAGAATAAAACTGTTCAGCTATCTCATTTTTCTCAGATTAATTCGTCAACGAAAAATTATTTCTGTAATATGAATAAGAAATTAAGCACATTAGTTTGATAATACTTCTATACAAACTGCAGATTTTGTGGAAGTAAATAGTTGACACATGAGAATTATGGTCAAAAGTGATTCGTAACAGCGAATACTGTAATAATTACTGGAAGCGTGGTTAGCCTGTAAAATCAATCTTGCAAAAACGTCCATTGGCATTGTTTTCATAGATTAGAAAAAATAATTTAAAAAACAATATCGCTAGTGTTCGAAATGATTCATTGAAAAAGGGTCTATTTCTTGATGTATGACAAAATGATACAATATTACACCATAAAAAATGGTTGAAATATTATGAATTATTATCCACCATCCACGACACAAATACACTTTTAAAGGGACTTGAATAGTCACTAAACCGTACATACACGCACACAGTATATGTTATATCTCAAAAAGTTGCATTTCGAAAATTTTTTTTATGCATTTGCAAATAATCACTTTTTTAAAAACAAATGGTTAAATTGTAGGTAAATGTTTTAAAACACGGAAGATATTTCATTTTAATATGAAAATGATAGCGGCAATTTTGTTTTCTGAGTATTCGGTTCACTTCATTTTTTTCATACGATCATGTTTCCCTGAAAAATGCTGATAAACTTCAGAACGTTCCGAATGATTCTTGTTGGAATATTTTTGTTTTGGCAAATACCAAAAAAGAAAGAACAATTAAATCCTTAGGATCCCACTCCAGCGGAGGTCGTGAAAAAAATGAAAATAAACCCTATCTGCAGCACCTGATAGGACCCCCGGTTTTGGTTTTTGGTTCGTGTTACTCAGTATTCAGTTTTCTATGTTGTGTTTTGTGTACTGTTGTTTGTATTATCGTCGTTTTCGCTTTTCGCCATGCCTTTGCCAGTTTAGTTTCGACTTATCAGTTTGAAAATCTCCTTGTTATCTTTCGCATCTCTTATATAAAATGTTTGGTTGTTGTGCTTCTTTATTTGCTAAGGATGTAGAGTAAATTGAATATGTGGGGATAAGTCGCTTTTGGGTTGAAGATATAGGGAAAGGAGGACATGGAATTTTGGGATAAGAAAAGTAGAATCTTCGAAAAAGAAGAAACAAAGTGGAAAGAGGTGAAAAATTGCATCAAAAAACGGAAATTGGCACTCCCTTAATAAGTTGAACTGTCACTGAGTGAGTTGGAATTTTACAAAGTCATCAACGTCTCAATAATGAGTGCTTACAACTGTCGATACTTTATAATATAATCTTTAAGAAAATCTAAGTTTTTATCTCATTTAACTAAGATTAACTTTAAACGTGTTTGTTATTCTTTGAGGCATATTGAAGAATAGGCTTCTAGGCTGTCCGTGTTTACATATACGTCTCTAGATTTTTTGGCCCGCAGCAAACGTACAGCCACTCTCATGTTTAAATTGAAATTTGCAGAATATGCAGTAAAATTATTACTGACTATTGTCATAAATTCGTAAAACTTTTTTCTGGAGTTACTGCCTTAGGCTTAGTTATTTTCAGAATTCATCGAGTCTTGAAATCCAATATTCTGACTGCTACTTATCGTTTATTTTCCGCACTTTTCAAGGTCGTTTATATTTCCTCCGGGAAAACTTAATCAGATTATATAATACATGATGTATGGTATCCATTTCGATAGAACATTCAGTGAAGCTCTTTAATTCTAATGATGTATAGTTATTGAACAATACTGAGCAATACATCTTGAAAACACTGATAAATCGAGAGGAAGAACATCTCTAACGACCATTCTGGTAATTTTTATACATTTTAGTTGTCAAAAATATACGCCTGTTCTTAAACGATTTTTTCGAGTGTTTTTAAATGAAACAAGAAACATAGTTACCATCACCATCTTCATCGTCAATTTCGTCGTCTGTCTCAATTTCTTTGCTGATGTCTGCAATATTTGATTGTGTTGTTGACGTTTTAGTGACGACTCGCGTTGTTGGGATCGTAGCTGCACCTATCGTCGCTGATTGACGTAATATTTCTTTAACATGTTTAATTTCTTCATTGTCAACATTAAAAAGGTCAACATCTATAATAAAAGTATCTTTTGAAGAAAAAAGTATCTTTTGAAGAAAAAATTATCTTTAAGTAAGCAACCGGTCAATGACTTATGTGGACGTTCACGATTTATTATTATCTATTTTCTTTTGTACTTAATTTCATTGTTATTCATGGTGGATAAATATCATAATTAAAGGGGGAGACTTGGAAACTATTTATCCGTTAGTATAATGCAAATGTCCGAGTGTAATATTCTGAATATTGTTTTTCTCGATAAACCCAATTCGACAATTTGATAAACGTTTATCCAAAATGTATTTAACTGATCAAAACCAGTCAAAATATACGAAGAATTTGAGAGATAAAATGTACTACAGTTAGTATTTATGTCATTTCAAACATGAGGGTAATACTATCATAGTACTTCCGACTAGGTTTTATCTCTTAGGAAGTAAAAACAATAAATTAATTTAACTACATATGTATTATTTAACATTATCGATCAAATCACGTAATTATCTCTTTTAGTACAATACTCATAGGACTATAATTATACAAGACAATAACGTCGTCGTTTTATTGACATAGTTACTGCATTATTTGGAGAGTCGGAAAAAAATACCAATTTCAGTGTTTGACATATGTTTTGGAATTAACTTCATAAAGTACACTCGAGACCAAACGATTAAGAAGACAAATAATAGAGCGTTGTGGGCTTCATTTCAGTTATCGATAGATGTAACTAATTAGCACACGTTTTTCTTTTTCTAAATATTTATTTACTGCGTGCATAAAATTCTCTCTATTCGGTCAGAATTAATACTTGCAAATATATGAAGTTGGTATTGGATGGATCAATGTTACGTATTCACCTCAAATTCGAATATAGCAAAGTATTTCCCTGCACATGGATGCTCAATTAGAAAGCCAATAATAACGCATTTAAAATAACTCGGTTAAATAGTGTTTGTTTGTTTTGTTTCTGCTTTTGTTGCCTTTTTAATTTTAAAACTTTTATGTTTTTAAATTTTTGTTGTATTCCTGTTTTGTGGATTTTCTTTTTAAAGAAAAGAACTTTGTCGAAGTGAAAAGAGTTCACAAATGTTACAAAATCAAGAATAAATGCAAACTAATCTAATAATTTCAATATAATAGTTTTTATCGATACAGAAGCCTCAGCTTTCTTCATTCCCTTGGTAAAAGCAATATTAAAACAAATTGATTTGTGTAATCAAAAGACGTATACATCAATGGTACATTTGCTCTATAATTAAACGTCAATACCTGTATTAGGCTCGGGCAGACGACGAATAGCCTCGTGCTGTTTTCCTATCGTCTGTTGTTCTAGTCTTCCTGGCGTTTGCTCAGTGAAATGGCCTGGAATATCAATGTTTTATTAAATTAATCATCAAATTAATCAATAATGTATCAGATACTACATTTCAATCTATTCATGACTTTGATCTGAATCGATTTTTAGATAAAACATTTGATTCATCCATAAAGTAACATGTCTACCAGAATTTTAGTTGGAAATGTCTGGAATCGATTCGACATTCGAACGTTTATTTTGCCATTTTTCTTGTTTGCGTTGGACCATATATCAGACAAACTACAAAACTATCAAAGTATCATTTCCGCAGATAATTAACACAAGATGTATCACTTAATTCTCACGAAATTAATGTTTTCTTTCACTTAAAAGTATAATCTATCTCTGTAATTTCCGTTCCTACTTCAATTTTCTTATCAACAATGTCACAAAATGAAACCAACAACCACAACCAGTAACATATGCGATGTTTTTTATGAAGAAATCTATTAAACAAAATGATATGATGGGGCATGCGTCAAAGAGACAGCAATCAAAGGACTTAGAATAACAAAAGACATCTAGATGTCACCAAAAGGTCTTTATTGATATATCAATGGCAAGTTCCAATATTTAAAGGTCTAAATCGCAAATATCTAGAATAAAATATAACCTTAACAGACATTGTTATCAACACAAAAATCTCTCAACAGAAGAACTATACAAAGCAAAAATGATAACTGATTCACTACTGACGTGATTAATGACCTGGGACTTACGCTGGCCCGAGAAAACACTAACTATTTAGCACTCAGTCTTTTGCCTTTTCATCTCGATCAGTAGAATAACATAAGGTATAGAAAAATATATAATAATAATGATAATAATAATAATAATAATAATAATGATAATTATAATAACCCCAAAAAGGAGATGCAGTTTTTCCGCAGTGCAATGCGTCTAATATTGAGTTAATGCCCATTTTTAAATGAATAACACATATGTAATTATTAAAAAATGAAATACGGAAAGCAAGTTTGTCGACATCGTTAAAGGTACACATTATTCTAACACATTAATGTTTGTTACGTTAGTTTTGATTGGTTAAATAATGAAATAACGTCACAATTTATGGATTTCATATCAACGATTTGAAATTTAAACTCATTAAAGATACCATGCTTGAAAACTGTTAAGCAAGACGCGCGTTTCGTCTTTATGAATTAAAGCAACAGTAGCTTACAAATGTTCAAATTTTATAAACACATACAAATCAAGGTAATAAACAAAAACTGAAGTAATCGCATGAACTCCAAAAGGAGCAAATGAGTGTTTATTAATTATTATTTACATACTATCGTATGAAAGTACTCGGTTTTTATTTGGCCTTCCACCCGTTTTGATTCGAACACCACTGATGAAAATTATTTTTTGGTATCTTTGACGAGTTTTTACAACCACTGGCCGGATGCCACTGCAGGTGGAAGTATCGTCCCCTAGAGTATCACCAACCAAGAAGTCAGAATGTTTGTGTTGATATGAAATATTATTAATATTTTCCTTACATCTTTAAATTTGTTTTTAAAGAATAATGAATTATTCGGAACACTAAGGATTTTCTACCCGAAGATTGCCTTAGCCCTGATATCACAGCTTTTCGGAAGTTGTGTTCCTTAATGCTCTTTGATTTCGTATGTTATTTGGTGTTCCAACTATTTTGATTCGAACGGCATTGATGAATCTTATTTAGACAAAACGCGTACCAGTTCAAAATAAGAAAAGCCTTGTTTGTTTGAAGATTATTTCTTAAAGGTAAAAGTTGACATATTCACCTGTTCACTGGAATGATTATGTTATTCATTACATTACTAGAATAGATGAGTTGTCATTGTCGTGGGCCCTCTAACGTATTCATTTGTCTCTTTGGAGCATTTACAGCAACAGTAACGATAGTGTTAGGAGTCTCACCGTTGATGTTAAATAATTGATAATAAGGAAGGGTATCTATAATAATTTTCTGTTGATTGTTCTCTCTGCTGATCCATTAAATTCTCTTGTAAACATATATTGCCCTTATTCTACTTATCGAATTCGAAAAGTGCTAAAGTTGTATAGAAAAATATAAAGGTCTTTTATGATAGATGGGGCATCAAAGCTGACATCGAATCCTGTGAGCTTACATTGACATTTGAAATCCAATTCCCCTGTATATTACGCTATATAATGTATATGAGGGATAAGGATTGAGCAATTATAAAGGAATGCATGCTGAACTTTATACGGATGAACAGCGATGATCTATCCTACACTACAACGAATTGAGTCACATTTTTGTTGTATTTTTCTACCCTCTAGTAAATCATTATTGAACGGTAACATAATAACATTGTAATGGTATACTTTCTGTCATTTCAGTACTGCTGATTCTTACAGCTGGTTGTGGGACCAGATTTTATCCACTATTTTCTTCGGAAAATGCCTGTGCCAAGTCAGGAGTGTGACGGTTGTTTTCCATTCATTCCGTTGGTTGTGAACGTTTGATTTCGTCAGTTTTTATAACTTCCCCTTTTTGGATTTGCTTTGGAGTTCGGTATTTTGTTATAGTATGATATAGTATAGTTACTTACTTTATGGATTCGTACAGCTTTGTTTCGGGACTGATTATTTCAGTGAAGTTTCAGTACTGTGTCAGTACCAATTAATTTTAACAATGTTTAAGAACGTATTGTTTCCGTACTGTTTCAGTGCTGATATTTTCAGGGTTGATATTGAAAATTCAACAGTTACAACATTGTGGTATAATATAGTTTTCATCTATTTAGAACCAAACGTATAAATAGTCACGCTATCCAGCTACACAAAGGTTCCTTAAAAAACCCAAGCCAGCGCGATTTTCAGTACATCTTTAAAAGATATGTATGAAACGACAGCGGTATCATCTTTTGTAATGTGATGAGTATTCGTTGTTACGTTTTTACAGCACGACGGTTACATGGGATGGAATCAACGACCTCCGCACTCAGTGCGAGCACTTTACCACGAAACCCTAAACTGTCGTAGAAAAATTGTTATGATATCTACGTGTAGAGTTGTACCTCATTTTAAGGTTTTGCCATTGATACTTAAATGTGAGCAACAACTTCACCCGAAAAAGACATTTTGCTACAAATATATTTTACAAAGATGCTTATATGTGTGTAGAATATCTTTATTTGGTAAAGCTGTTACTCATATATATTTTGACAAGAAAAGTTTGCATGAAATGACAAAATTAGGTCAAATGTGTAATTGTAGTCGTGTTTATGACGTCGTATTGGCATCACTTGCGTCCTCTCGGCTCAAAAGTGTCCAGGTACTATTAATATGTTCATTTATAACTTAAATTACATATTTTTAAAGGCTTGAATAAGTTTTCTGTTTTTCAAATTTTAGGGATCAAATAATGGCTTATCACACATTTTGTACCTCCTCCTTTAATCAAGAAACAATTGAAAATGCAAAAACACATAATATTCTTCAAACAAATAAATATATACCTCCTTCGTTTTTTTCTTTATCTAGTTGTATCCCATCACCGGAACCGGAACCATCGATATTATCCTCGTCATCAGATACAAGCCGAGGTAATTGCACATGTTTGGGTTCCTGGTCGATAATAATTTGGTTGTACTTCTTACTACTTTCATTAACATTTGTATTAAGCACTTCATTCAGCCAATTGTCGTCTATGTTTATGTCGTAACCATTTGTATTTCCAATGTCATAAGTGACGGAATCTGCAAACGAAAATATGATATGTCATTATAAGGTAATTGTTAGATAAGTTAAGTTAATTCACCAGTTTTCAAAAAAGTAGTTGACACAGGTTTAGAAGAAAACAAAGGATACATAAGGGAAAAATCATAAACAATAAGTCGGAAAAGACTGACAACACCAGCAAAAAAAGTCAAACAAACAGACAATTAACAGACCACAAAACACTTCACATAAAATAAAAAGAAATGACAACATGAACCCTAAAACATCACCACAGCAGTGTGAACTCGTCCTCCAAAAGATGTTATCTTATGTGCTATCTACCTGGATTGTACTTTTACCGATTGGTCATTTTAAGCATTGCAATAATGTGTGCAGTTTGGATACTTATGTTTATGTACCATCGTTTCAAGTAACCCTTTGTTGACCAAAAATGAGTACGGAACAAAAGTAAAATAACAAAAATACCGAACTCCAATGAAAATTCAAAACGGAAAGTCCTTTATCAAATGGCAAAATGCATCAATAGCAGATCAACTCTAAATGTCCAGCTCTCCAAAGGCTTACGGAAACATTAGAAAAGAGAATTGCCATTTCTCAGTCCATATGTTAGCTATAATATTCTTATGAAAACATACGCCTTTTTGTTGACAATGTATTATGTCTCTAACCACGTGATTAATTGCAAGTACCAAACTATTTAAACAAAATTTTTCAAGAGTTTCATCAAAAGCTTTTCATTTATCTACATATTTGTGTATTACAATTATGATTTACATAGTCAGTCGCATAACTGTCAATCCACACCACGTTGACAAACGCCAGTAATGTGGGTATCGTAAGTTTTTAACAGAAAGTCCTGTAACAATAATTATTGTACGGAAATTAATATACATGCGTTTGAAAATAAAATAAAAGTTTCAATGAAATCCGCGATTGCAATTTCCGATCTCATTGTCGAAAAATGAAATTGATAAATCGTGAAAGAGAGAAGAAGCATAAAATTGCGATACTATACAGGAAATTGACATCCGGCAGAAAATGGTTACGTAACAATCCTGCATTAAGGGATAAAATTAACTTATTATCTATAAATTTAAACAAAAAAAAAAAAGATCTCTAGGAACAAGAATTACATAATACTCAGTTTGAAAAACAAGGAATGGAAACGTGAAATTTATTCATAATACACAATGTACACTAAAACATACTATTATCACACAAAATACGTTTAAGTGAAAGTATTCCAGTTATTTTGGGAATGTTCTATTCTTCTTAATGAAGTTATTGTTTCTGAAAACAATCAAATGCCATATAAAAACTAATTCAACATGGTAAAATCAATGTTAGGAAATAAAAGAGATGATGTTCCAGACACTTGATAAAAACGCAGATGCCATTATCAATTGCCGCAAGTGACAAAATCTCTATGGTAAAACATTTGTTGATAAAACGATAAAATATAACTTAGTTATTGCCTTTAGAATCGACACTATAGTGAGATTAGTGGAACAAATATTTTAGCTGTATCTACAAAATTAAAGTGAAATCTCATTTAAATTAGGGCATTCTTCTAACCTTTGGAAACGCAAACAAAAACTAAACATACATACTCAATTGTATCACTTAGGAAGACTGACAACTATCAAGAGAAAAAAAAAAGGAATGATTTAAAAACTGTTTGCCATTTTTGCAAGAAACGTAATAGTTTGAATGTTTATTAGTGAATACAAATCGCAGACTGAGAACAAATTAGGTTATGACTTTTTCATCTTTTTATTTTTATTTAGTTTGTTTCAACCAGAAAATTTGTGAATACCGTATTATTATCTAAAATCGGGGACAATAAATATATATAAATAAATACGTTTTAAGGAGCATGTGAAAAATAAAATGTGATAAGTATGAAAACAAGAAAGCAGCAAAAATGAACACAATAAACTTTATTTGATATAAAACTATGTTTGTGATAGAAAATACTCAACAAACAGAATATCTATGATAAAAAGGGTGTCGATTTTCTCTTAAAGAATTCCCATTCTAATTAAATTGATTTTGATAGAATTTTCCGATACGGGAGGTGTTTTAGATGAAAATCTGATACTACGTCAGTGCAGTTAATCTGGGGGTTTCTAAACAAAATTTAATTAATAATAAAAATAGCACTTTGCAAATTTTATGCATCTGAAGTGCATTTCTTGATACATCTTCAACAAGAACGCTGAAAGCCCCCCCCCCAAAAAAAAGAGAGAATTGAGGCAAAGAATGTTCAAGTACGGAAACACATGCTATACGACCAAAAGGAACATACAAATAATTGCCAAAGCCATCATACATAATAAATCATCTATGTCTTATGACTTTGTTCCGAATGATAAAGTTCATCAAATGTAAGGAACTAATCGTTAAGTTATCGTGAATAAAAGACAACATTGTCATTCTTTAACACGATTTTAATGGCCAAAAACTAACTAATATTTCAGTCCTATATGTTTTATATTTTATAAAAAAAATGAACTGCAAAATTTCTTATTTTTTCAGATACTGAAAAAATACCAAAAATTATAAATATCTTAAGATATCCTCAGCAGTCATTGCCATTTGTTTGCAATAGTAAAAATATGTAGGTAAGATCACCCATTTATTGCTAGGTCGTGCATTATATAATAAAAATATATCTATTATCCTAGTTTCCTGTTTCTAACCGAGTAATTTTAGTAGATAATATGTTGTATACACAACATATCGTGACATAAGAGAGCTATTAGATTTGCCTAGTCCCAAAACAGTTTATTTGCCATTAACCGGATTTCGTTTATGATAAAAAAAATGATAATAATTGCATATTTCCAAATTGATTAAGTATTTAATAATTAGAATTGCTGGTAGAGACTGAGTTTCGGTATTAATACGTAATATTAGAGGTTGAACAACGGGTTCCATGTAAGATCTGGTCTTTGTTTCCTCCTTTCGTTCGATTATGTCATTCATTGGGACCTATACAACATTTTATAATATATAAATGTTGCTATTTGTCTATTTATTAACCCCAGTTTTCGGTGGGGTTCATGCTGTTCAGTCTTTACCTTTCAATGTAGTGTTTTGTGAACGTGTTTTTTCTTTGTTGTCAGTTATCTCTACTTGTGAGTTTTGCATTTCTCCTTGGTATCACCCGCATTATTTCTTGTACATCTACACTACATCAGTTTCACTATAATATGTATATCAAATAAGTACGGAATGGTTAAAAGCATACCTCAGTCGGAACTCTGCATGCCAACATCATCATTCAACTCATTTTATCAGGGAGACATTTTGACTGATTATATATGGCAAAATCTGTGATATAAGTTACACATCCAGATTTAGCTTATGAATGTATTAGTTATGGCCTAACAAGCTGTGAAACATTGCATCAGCTGTTTTGAACACTCCTTCACTGTTTGAAAAAAATATTCTACTACTTCAATGAATTTCGATGGATCGTTAAAAATTTGATATATATCAATGACAACCAAATGCTTCCTTTTTCTACTGATTGTGACATTTCAGCAGGAAACAGTCTGATAGATGACAGTCTGCCTGCAGATAAACCAATATTTAACCGTGAATATTGTTTTCTTTACCTAATTTATCCATTGAAGAGTAGTATGTTTGGTCAGAAAAATCCCGTAAGACTATTCATCATAACAATTTAATATGGTTTGTTGTAAGTCGTTGCTTGAATGTGGAGGATCCGACTGCATTTTTTTTTTACCAAATTTTTTACACGTTTAACATCTTATTCAATATAAATAATTCATAAATACACAGTGGTTTAAATATTATTGACAATTCATTATCTGATTAAATATTAATATAACTAGGCTGTGTACTCGTCACATATTCTCAATGTTCGATCAGTGGTGAATCCTGGGTTTTTGAAAGGGGGAAGTAATTGCAGAAAAGGAAATAGATACCTTCAAGCGGAGCGAGAGAAAACGAATTTTGAACGATTCTATGTTAAAAAATCATATAAATCGTTAGAAACATGAGATTTTTCTTTTTTTTTGGCGATGAAAAAGAGGAGGGGGAGCGTAAGCCCTCTACGTCTTATCCTGGATCCGCCAATGGAGATCATATGAGTTTCGTCATCCAGTATTTCAGAATCAAATTAATTATACCTGTGCTATTTATTACATATAACATATGTAAACCATTGTTTATCAGAATGAAGATATATATAAATATAATCAAACGCATCGTAGTAATTTCAAAAGCGCCCACCAAAAATGTTGTCTTACACAGTCTAACACAATCACAGATGTTCGACCAACATCGTAACGTTCATATATTTTTTTATTTTAATGTAGGAACAATGGACGTTTAGATTCTGAAACGTCAAATTCAATTACAGATGAAATATAGCTCGATTTTTAAAACTTAAGATTAATGATTTATCAATTACGGACATAAATATAACTATTCGATTGGATTTATAAATGCATAATATCTATAGAAAATTTCAAAATACAATCATTGCTAATCGTTTCACATAATATATAGCTACAAATGTGAAAAGTAACTCTACCGCTTGGTATTGCCGTTGTCATCATTTAGTATGCTGTCTCCAAAAAAAGATAGCAACTAACTTACAGTGGTGTACTTAAAAATTAGAGTAGAACTTTCGCGTGTTGGATGTACACAGAAAAATAACTGCCGATCCTTTCCCTATTAAATAACATGCCTGTTAGATGACTATAGTCATTATTCAGACTGTAGTGATTTCTAGTTTACAAAAGTCATCAGTCATCATTTTTTTCTCCTGGAATATCAGAGTTACAGCAATTAAGCTTTTTAAAATGACAATGATAAATATAAAAGTTTTTGTGATGGACAGAAATTGTACTGTAACTGATCACTTGCAGCTAAGTCAAGTTATTATTGTTCCACATATGTCATTAGGCAAAAAATGCTCCTGTATATTATGATTTTTGTCATCAACACAACTCATCATGTGATTTCTGTGCGGATAGTAGAT